TTGGCACCTTGGCTAACATGTCGGATATAAAGTCAAGCTCGTTGAAGAGCTCACTGACGTCTTTCTTGAATCCTTCAAGATACTTGAGATGGAAGAAGAACGAAAAAACGTGGAAAAGGAGGACAAGGAGGACAAAGGAGCCATGGATAGAGGAGAGGAAGAGGAAGGCGGGAAAGAGGCTGGGGGGAGGAGATGGGAGGACAAGAAATGGGCGCATCGGATGCATGTCCTCTCACCTGGTCTGATGATATCTGCAGGCCACAGGTTCGGTTCTGGTGGCAGAGTGAACGACAAGGGCCAACGGGAGGAGGAAGGGGAGGAAGAGCTCACCACGGAGATCGTGGTCTTTCCCGAACGAGAAGCAAAGATGCTCTGCTATGACTCCTGCAAACGGCGGGTCAAAGAGATTATTCAAGGCGGGTGAAGGAGGGAGAGAGAAGAGGAAAGAGGAAAGAGCAAAGCAAGGGTCGATGGAAGACTGAGGGGAGGAGAGAAGAGGAACAAGGACAAGAACTTTTCGCAAGGAGTCCCGAGCGATGTGGAGGATGAAGCACCTGGCTCAGCCGAGTGGATCCCTCTCCTGCTGAATCCTCTCCCCGAAGGACTCGGCGCATCGATGCCGAGGGCTGTCTCAGACTCCTTGAACATGGCTGGGGAAGAAGGAAACGTCAACTCGAGCAGTGCAGTCTTTCGAATCCTCCTCGAGCAAATATGCGACATTTCTCAATCTTTTACCTGCCATGTGCTCGTATGTGTCGTTCAATTGAGCTTCCGTGATCATAGTGCTGAACCCCCAAAGTGTCAAGTAACTCTCTCTCCCTCTCCCTCTCCCTCTCCCTCTCCCTCTCCCTCTCCCTCTCTCTTGGTTCCCCAACAAACTCAACTTGCTAATTCCATGTATCACAGACGGCAGAACAGAGAAGGAATCCACTTTTCCCTCCTTGTCTTCCTCCTATCACTGTGTCTGCTACTATTTCTGCATCTGCCTCGATCGTTCTAAAACACATTCAACCCCTCTCTTCTACACTTTTTCCTTCTCTGCGAACTCTCCCAAATCTGTTCTGCTCACTGTCCCCCCATGACAAATGCCTGTTCCTTCGCAAGAGGTGAAGTCATACTTGAAGATGAAGAAGAATCCTCCCTCATTCAGCGCAGAGTTGATATCCTGGTCAACCATCAGCAAGCTCTCAAAATCGATTCTCGCCGACACGGCTGAACCTGAAGCATCCCCTTTTGCCGATTCCCCTGCTGATATTCGCCACACAGCTGAGGAGCAGGTCAAGGAGGTCACGGCAGTGCAAAGGAGGCAACAGTTCCTCCCACGCACCTCTCCTCCAGCAAGGAAACATCGATTCATCTTTCTGCATATTAGAGGACCCACTGTCCAAAGCCTAAGTCACACAGACTACCCGTCCTTCCTCGCGCTCTGCATACCGTCTACGTCGTAAGGATATTCCGGAGAAACGTTGACCTCGTCCTGTCGATGTACAAACTCGTCAAGAACAAGATCCAAAGGAATATGAGAAACGATCGCTCACTTTCAACATCTCATAATGATTCCCTTTGTCCATAATGACATCCAAGGCTGGTTTGTGCTGATCACCAGAAGCTCCGTATCTACCACACAAGTAAGATGGAGCATGTAGCAGCATTCGAACACTTGTTCTTCTGTAGAAGGTCGTCAAGGTCTAGCTGCCATGCTGGTCGTGAAGGGGTAAACGCTCGTCTCTGATTCCCGACGAACCCCCGGGCGACAGCCTGTTGTTGTCAGGTCAGAAGGACTTGGGCACCACCAGCTTCCTTGCCTTTCTTTTCAGCGGCGAGACTAGGTCGTTGGCTCTAGTCCTGCCAATGGCTGATCCCCACCTTGATCGCAAGGCACATGAAGCTCGTCGCATTCCAAGTTCTACAAAGATCCAGTCATCAGAGCCAGCGAGCCCCGTCGAGGGATTTCTCTTGTGCCCCGTGTCTCAAACAAGATGTTTGCGTCACCAGGTCTCATCACTACTGCCATATCTCCTCACTCTCCTGCACATGCTCGCACCGCACTCATCGAGCTGTGACCACTCTATCCGCTGGTCAATATCCTTCCCTGAACCTCATGATTTCCTTCCGTGTTCGAATCCTTTCATCTCCACCAAACCTCTCGGAGAATCTTGTATGCTTAATCTTTGGTTTCAATCATGTTGTCGAACTCAACTTCATGAAAATATTTCATGTCTTCCCCTTTCTGTCCCCTGGCAAATTAATTCTTCCTCATTGTACGATATTTCAGGTTGTGACTTCTCTTTCGTTTCTTGCCAACTTCCTCCCTCTTTGTCCCTGCCATTCCTCGTCGTTACTATCCGCTCTCTTGGACTCTCACCTGCCTATTCCTCGCTTCCCTTCATTCTCTTCGCTATCATCTGCTGCCTTCGATTCCCTTGCATCGCATGGGGAAAAAGAAGAAGATGCATCTCCTTCCCCTACCCTACCTCTACTCTGTACCCCACCCTTCGTGAATCAGATGACCTACCCTACCCCCTTACAATATTCCATGCGATGTACCCGACCCATTTTTACTTCATTCCGCCACCCCCCAATGCTCTAATCACCACCCACCACTCTAGGAGAGAAAATCCATACCTCACCCCCCCATCAATCTTATCCCACCCCTACATTCGCTTTACGCCACCCTACCCCAAAGTTCAATTTATTTCCCCAAACAGAAATCCGGATCCCCCCCTACCCCCTTGATTACTACCCCGTGTTTTTTACCCCTACCTATCTGGATTCATGGATCACCCCTACCTTCTTCTGTATAGTACCCTACCCAATCATATTGTGCCACTCTGTACCACCCCAACAATCTACACACACGCTTCTCCCCGACTTGATACCACCCCTACTTTAGCGCTTTGATTGACCCCATGATCTTTGTGCACCCACCGTGTGTGTCTTGAAACTACCCCACCTACCCACTACCTACCCTACCCCTTGTACGTCAAGTCCCCAGGTAGGTGGTCATGGTTATTTTGTGGTTTTTATTATTTTAATTTTAAGTAAGAACCGCGAGACTGGCTGAGCCACCAATGTGACCCACCTACCACCCTACCCCTCGTTGGGGAAGCAGCTACCACCAACACAAACTCGCGTACCCCACCCTCACCCACATTCTGTGATCACCCCTCCTAGAAGAGCCTTCGAATGCATAAACATACCCCTCCTCACGAACTACCAAGGGTGTTCCAAATTGCATCTAGGGTAGTCGGAAGAGGACCCTAGCCCAATTTTGCTGTAATGTAGACCCCTACCCTCATTGCTTGATTTGATTGTGACTGATCCTGATGATATTGAACATTTGAAATCTAAACGAAACATTTGATTTGTCCAAACCTGTTTGAAGAATCTATTGAAAATTACAATGAGGTACAGAAAATCTACTGGTTCTCAGAGGTAGATCAAATGTTTCGACGCAACATATTGTGTTTCCCATAACTTTGTGAAAATTAAGAACAGTATTTTGTATTTTCAAAACTGAATTGAAAGTGGGTACCCTCACTGGGAACATCCAAAAGCCTCGGCCTCCAGGCCTCCGCGTGCCATGCAGGCGGCGGCTATGCGTTCGTGACTAATGTCTGCAAGGGATCATTGCACCAGCGCCACTACATCACCTCGATTCATTCTCGGATGAGTGTTATCTCATCTTGTGCTCCCATTTCCTTTGGCCCTCACTTTTCTCACAGTAACTTTCGTCGTTCCTTTCCTGGAGTACACTTATCCTTCAATCCCTCCTCCTCGCTCATTCATCAGCCCACCTTTTCGACTTCATACACCTTACGATTCATTCTGACATCCAAAATCATGTGTACCCAATGAAACTTCATCTTTCCTCCTTCTTCTCCTCCTTTCTCAATGGTTCAATGCTGCTGTCTTGTGCAGCTGAGGTTCTCATGTCACAAAAGTGGATGCAATGGTGCAGCAGCTTTGTTCATGAGAGTGCATGTGTCGCTTTCTCGTTGCTGGTTTTTATTGTTCGAAACTGTGCGAGAGCACAGTAATATTTTGTTGAGTGTTCGATTTGCGACGATTTCCTGATCGGCCCAAAATCGATGATCCCTGTCGTGCAGTAGGAAGACTGTGATGAGTTGATAAATCAGTTGAACGATCTCTTCGATTGGTTTAGAGTTCGGTTCATGCTCTTGATTTGCAAGGCCACGTCTTTGAGATTGAAATCTCAATTATTTCATGGTTATCTGTATGTAAGGATATTCTAACCATGTGCTATGCAGGATGTTGCGCTTCCTTGTCTACGCTGGCGCTGCAGTTCTTTCCATGGCGCCCTACTCCTCGGCATTTGCCCCTTCTTCCCTTCCTGTGGCCTCACGCAGAGCTGCAAGCCTCAGGCTGTCGATGAAGTCCAACATCTGGACCCCCAGGGCTTCTGGTCCCATGATGATGCCTGAGCAGCCCCAGCCAAGACCAGGCGAGGCTCCTCCACCCAAGCCTAGCATTCCCATGCCCATGGTGTCTGTGGGAGAGGGCCAAATGGATATCTACTCTCGATTGGCCAAGGACAGGATTTTGCTTCTGGGTACCGACGTGAATGACGAGGTCGCCAACAATCTCGTAGCCCAGATGTTGTTTTTGGCAAACGAGGATCCTGGCAAGGACATCACCATGTACAGTGAGTGTCTCGATACCATACTATGAGCCATGGGCGTGCTGATATCATGTAAACAGTCAACTCTCCGGGAGGATCTGTCTCCGCTGGCATGGCTATCTATGATACCATGCAGTACATCCCTTGCGATGTGAGTTTGCTTATAATGCATATGCCAAGAAAGGCTGTTTACAAGTCTGGCAGGCCTCCACCGTCTGCTTCGGTACTGCCGCATCTATGGGTGCCTTCTTGCTCTGCTCGGGAGCTCCTGGAAAGAGGAAGTCGCTGCCTAACGCTCGTATTATGATCCATCAGCCCCTTGGAGGAGCTCAGGGACAGGTTGGCATGCCCAGAAGAGCTCAGGCGCCCTGCTGAAGATGTTGGACAGGCTGCAGACATTGAGATCCAAGCCAAGGAGATTCTCTTCGTCAAGTCCCTGCTCAACAGGTCAGGATCGGCACGCTTCCGCGACTGTTTTTTGCTGATGATTTTTCTTTTCAGCTACATGGCCGACGCTACTGGTCAGCCGCTCGACAAGATTGAAGAAGGTTCGCTGACATTTCCCTGCGCTGAAAGTGCATCGACCTGACTTGTCGTGTAGACACCGATCGCGACTTCTTCATGACCCCCGAGGAGGCGAGGGAGTACGGAATCATCGATGAGGTAGGATGGAGAGGACGGTAGCAGCAACTTACTGTCTGCACGCAGGTTATCCAGACGAAGAAGTCAAACCTCCCCAAGCCCAGCCGTCCTATCCTCGTTTAAAGCGTCCAGGTAACATAGGAGGAGTGAATGGGTTCAATTTGAAACTCGACGTGTAGCAGACCGAAGGATTGGATGCTCATGCTTTTTCGTTCATCACCGCACTCAATATTCAGTAAAGTTCGTAACTTGAGTCGTCTCTCGGCCTTCGAGTATGGACAACGTGCCTAACCCCTGGCACTTCGAGGTTCACTGCCTGGACGATCGTGTCCTGAGTTGCTACAGTAACTCCCATAATTGTCTTCTACATGCTAGAGATCCTGCCTTGCAGGTAATGTCATTCAGAATAAGGCAAGAACAATTCAATTGAGAGTCTCAAGCCCATGTGTTCACCATGTTTTCATTCGTCTTCTGCTCCCGCGTCGCCATTGACACAATCGTCACGATTCGTAAAGGTCTCACGGATCGAGATCAACCTCATTGTCACATATGGAGGTCGTCAACTCATGTCTAGTCTCATGTCTTGTCTCGTCTCTTGTCTCATCAGCCATCACCAGCTGCGATGCAACTCTGTGCATTCATATGCATCCATCATCAGCGCAGTAGCCTGAGGTTTTTTATAGTCTACACTGGGGTAGGGGTACTGTCGACGATTATGACAGGTAGAGGGATACGGGTGATAAACAGTAATAATAGGGGGTAGTGGGCATTGAATGGGGGCTAGAAATGATATAAAGGGTGGGTGCGAGCGGGAAGAGGAGCGGGAGAGGAACGATAGCGGTGCGGGGAGGGAGGGAATAACGATGAGGAGTAAGAGGAGGATGCGGTGAAGACAACAAGGGAGCGGGAGAGGACGGTATTCAGTACGAGAAGAGAGAACAAGGAGAAGAAGGAGGAGAAGGAGAAGGAGAGAGAGAAAAAGATAAACTTTTGGAAGCATAAAATCTGGGCCGGCCGAGTCAGGACGGCAAACAACAGAGCAAAGCAGACACCCAGAAGAATTGGACCGAATCTCAGGTGGAGAGACAAACAGAGAAGAAAACGTTGAGGGCATACCGGAGGTTGAGGCATAGGAAAGCAAGGAAAGGCCTCAGCGACTACGAACTACCCACTCTCTTCAAACATTTTTCACTCCCCACATTTAATCTTTCATTTTGGAAAGAATTGAATTTCTCGCATTATTGTGAGGAGAGGAGAAGATCTTCTGTCACGGAGAGCACAAAAAGCTCTGCCAGAGATATTGAGACTCTTCTCTCACTAAGGCTGTTCGACATTTAAACCAGCCAACAGACATGATCCGCATAGTGGCTTGAACACAATCCACTTTGCTCACTAGATATTCTTTGAATTTGGATCATCCACGTGACAAGCACAGAACGCAATGGTACGACATGTAAGGAGTGCTTAGTATGATCCGGAGTTCTGAAGTGATGGAGGGATGCTTGACTAATTGTGACCTTGACGCTGAACACAGTGACGTGCGGGGGGTTGCCTGAGAAAGATCATGATTTGAGCCTCCTCTGATACCTCAAAAGGCGCTACATACCCAGGATGGTTTATTACACACTGCACATCAGGGACTCAATATCGTGGTGATGAAGAAGAGGGTATGAGTTTCGTTCCCACGAGGTTTTCGAATCATCTCAGCCATGGATACAGCCTCCCTGCATGTCAGACCCTCAACATCCAATGAAAACGTTGGCAATGTGGGGCGGAGCAGCTTGTACAATACAGTCTTCAACTCCAAGAAACCTTCGCCCAAAAGGCCGCAAGGCAACAAAGGCTCCCTAGACCATCAGGTCTTCTGCGGAGTGAGGATCCCAGTGGAATCATTTCACGTTCCTGAGACGGAAGTCGGGCATCTCCCTCTGCTGTGGCAGGGAAACATCAAGCTTGCCTCAGGGAGGATCCTCAATGTGCGAGTCGTTCACGTGGAGGGGTGGGACCTTGACCTCATGCTTACGGTCGAAAACTCCTTGACGCCCATGGCCACCCTCGGCCTTCACAACATCGCCGGTAAGGAGCACTCAGACTGCGGATTGGATGCTCTCGTCAGATCGCCGAATCGCATCGTGAGCATATTGCTGCCAGGGTCAGAGGCAGATGCATTTTCTGAACTTAAGACTTGCGTGCATGAGAAATCGATCGATCTTGGAACTCCGGCATTGCTAGGTTTGATCATTCCGCCAAAGAACAAGTTGCACAGAGAGCTGATAGTAGGCTGTGCGCAACCGTTGATGGTCATCTGGTCTACGAGCGGTTGGCAGAAAGAAGGTTGACCGTGAGTGTGGATCATGTCTGCAATGGTTGATCTGGTATCAAGATTTCAGTGTCCATGACGGTCATGCTGGCGATCTGCTTGGCGATCAGTCTTGCTTTCTCTCCCCACAGGAGATTTTGTTTCCCCCTAGTCTCAAGCATCTTTCTCAGAGCTGAGACCTGTTGACTGTTCTCAGCTCCCAACTTCTCACGGAGTCGCAGGATGCCATGGCTGAAGGATGTGAAAGTCTCAAGAGCATAACCACAGATGGATATCGTCTCGATCCCAACTCCATGACGCTTGCCACGATGCCAATACCCTGTGTATGACAGCTCCTTGTGCTGATAGTAGCCGAATCCATGCCGGGCACCTTGGGAAAATTCACCGCTGTAAAGGCTGGAATCAGGATAAAGGTCAATTCCGAAACCATGTGGTAACTCTTGGGTCATCTGGCCGTAATACTGGAAACCATCTTTGAACTGGATGAATCCAACACTCACATCAGCGCCTCTCTTGACCTCTGCTAACAACAATAATCGATCTTGGTTCTCGGCATATTGGATCGCCTCTCGATGTTTGTCATGCTGAGCAAAGTCTTCTTTCCATGTGCAGGTTCTCCACTGCATGAAAGGATCAAGAACGTAAATCTCCTTCCCAACCATTTTGTATTCCTTCGGAATCTCTACAGTATCATCAGCCCAGTACGCCCTTGTTGGAATAGCGACAGCTTTGACTTTGAATTGAAACTTCATCTTCTCGAGTAGGCTCACAGAAATAACCCCATCGAAGAGAGCCAGCTGTTCTCGAGAGGAAGACTTTATGGCAGGGTGCTTCCAGGACGTCTCTCCTGACATCACGTTTTGGAAGTACGTGAGACCTGTGCTGCGGGAAACTTTCTGTATCCATGCTCCAGGCAGGTCTTGCAGGAAACAGCTCTCCATACCTGCAGTAAGATCGTTGAATTCTTTGCTTCCTCCTTGCTTAGAAGGTGATTCGTGGCTCATTGCGCGGGTGTATTTGTTCATCCAGAAGCTCCGTCCAGTCTTGGGCGACTCGTACTTCTTCCATGTACTCAACATCCCTGCATCGATGCGTCGAATTGAACCATCGCCTTCGTTTGTTAGTTTGGTCACTTTCGCTAATTTGTTGAGGCTTTGAAGAAGCTTCCTGGTTTGCTGCTTCAGGTTCCTGTATTTGGATCCGTGTAACCTGAAGATCCTCTCCCCAAGAACTTCCGCTTCTGAAACGAGCCTCTGCAGCATTTGCTTGGATTCCGCTTCAACCTGGTTAACCTGCTCGTACAAATACTTAGCGATGGGAATGAGGTGTTCGACGAATCTGGCGCTCTTGCCCTCGGTGAAATCTCCAACTTCGTCATTGGCCTCAGCCAGTCGAATCTGAAGGGGGGTGTACTTGAGGGACAACCGCAGGTGGCCGACGTCAAATCCTTGTAGATCTTGCAAGGGGAACTTGTCAAGAAGCAACTGCTGGGGAGGGATCGCGTCGATTTGGATGTCGCACATTCCGATGAGCACTTGTGTGGCTTCATTCACGTAGTCGAAGACAAACGCTCGGATCTCCTCGCCTTCCATCGAGTGACTAGCTGACCAGACGAAGGTTTCGTTCCAGACACATTCATTCTTGTACTCGGCCGTCAAAGTTTCATATGAAGAGCCGATGAAGCATATCCTGCAGAACGGATTGAAATTTCTGTTGGTTTCGAAGAGATTGGCGTCCATGCACTCCACAACGAGTTGACTACGCGGGAAGTGAGCTTGGTGCTCCTGTTCCACTCTTTGCATGACTTCTTCAGATGCCAACCAGTGAATAGAGAGGTCGAAGGTATCCCCATGTTGCACCAAACTTCTGCAAAATGCGATGACGTTTTTGACTAAACTGGAATCGTATGCTGTTTGCTTAAACAGTGAGTGGAATATTGCAATATCCACGTTGTCTGTTGAGACCCCCTCGATCAAATCCTGCAGCAGCACCTGGCCAATCAAGTCAGACGAAAGGCTCTTCATAACAAGACTTGCCTCATGATCCTGTGAATCATCTTTGCTCAACGAGCTCGAACGTGCACGTTGAACTGTTTGTAATGACTGCTCTTTCAAATCATCCATCTTCAGCATCGAAATCCGTTCCACAGTTTTCAAGGGATCGTAGGATACCGAGTTTGAATAGATATCTTGCAGAGCCTCGCACAAAGAGACTACTGCCTTGAAAAGAGGCCACCGCATTTGACAGAAATTCAGTAACCATACGGTCTCATCATCATGACCAATCAGAATTGAATCCAAATCTGCTCTTTCCAAAATCAGAAGATTTGACCAGTCCGCTGCTCGTATGTTGCAAATACTGTTTTCTTGTCCCCTGATCAGGCAATTCTCGCCAGAAAAGAATCCAGGCATCAGATGTATGAAGTTAAGAGTGTTCTCGTCGTTGACGATCTCAAAAGCACCAGATGCCACAAAAAAGATGAAGCTTGTCCAGACACCCTTTCTGAGTACGAATTGATTAGGAATGTAGATTCGATTTTTGAGCGATTGAACGATTTTAGCAATGATGTTTGCAGAAAATGAATTCAACAGCGGATTGAGAACCATCTGCAACCAAAAAGTTCTTGGCATCACTTTTCTGGATGACGAATCAAAGTTCAACTCACCCGATTACCGTTTTGCATGTAGAGAGCTTGATGCCATAACCTCAACTTGAGCTCAGCTGTCAGGTTGTCGGGAAGGTCCTGCACCAGGAAGTTCATAAGCTGCACGGGGCTTCTGAAATCTCGTTCAAAGTAATGCATCGCTTGATCACGGAGATCCTTTGGAACTGCCACATACGACATGAGCTTCGATTTGCCTGTAAATATTTTCGTCAAACTCCCAAGCCCTGTCAAGTTGATCAACGATCTCGTACGTTGCATAGCTACATCGATGTTGACGTCCTTCCCTTGCAACTCATCCAAAAATTGTGATGTATTTCCTGGGAGGCTGTGAGCAAACCAAGGGTCTAGAATTCTTGTTCTCACCAACTATGTACGAGAAAATGCTTGCGCCGACAAGCATAGCAACAGTCAGTGCGTAGACTTCGTACTCGGTTGCTGGTGTGATGTCGCCATATCCCACTTGCGTCATGGTGGTTGTAAGCCAATAGATCGAGATCAAGTACTGTCGACTGATTGGAGCATAGATGGAACTCATCGTGATCTTTTCAGAGTAGCACGACGTTGTCTGTCCACAGACCAAGATGACATACTGACATGACATTCGATTTCAGAAAACTCGACGAGCAATCAACGATATTATCACCTGCACTCGAGCTATCCAAGAGTTCAGCTTGTATTTCTTGGTAAACCAGATGCCAATGTAAAATATCCCACATGCAAACCAATGCCTGGGTACAAATGACTTAATCCACTCACTGAAGCTCTTGGTACTTCTTACAAAGAAAAGAAAAAGGCGAAGATGATATTCAGGAATCTGAGAGATTCCATGCGGACAGCAAGAAATTCTCTGATGCGCTTGATATCTCTGTCGAGAGTTCCGATACGCGTTATTTCAAAAAGCTCCCATAACCTTCGTAATTTAAATAAACGCAGCATCCTTGCCAACCTGCAACATCATGTTTTAGCAATACAAAATGGCGTAGAATTTTCCATTACGAGAAAATGTACTGGGGTTTATTTACTGGTCCCCCTTGAAATACATGTTGCCAATTGTAAAAGAGCTCCCATGGTACTGCACAGATAACGTCCAGGAGTAAATTGTATTTCAAGTAGTGAAGCACTACTTGTACGTTGTCGACAACGACTGTATATTCACGATTCACTTCTTTGACGTATGCCGTCCTTATCTTGACAAGCATGTCGATCGTGAAGAATACGTCGACCACATACTCAATTAATATGAAGTCTGTGTCATAGAGTGCCCAGCCTTTGATTGAGGAACGAAAATCGACTTGTGAAGCTTCAAAAGACAATCTGAATGGAGAAAGTGCTGCAGTGAAAATCACCAGTGCCACCATGATGAAGTCCCAAAGAATCATTGTCCTTGCACGAGGGTTGAACATGAACAACGGGATTTCAATCAGAAAGTTCTGAGGGTCATTGAGTTTCTCATTCTCATCGAGATCATTCTGCATTTTTTCCATGTTTTTGCCTGTAGAAGGCTTGATCTTGTTCTTGCGGGATTTAGGTTTGAGCTTGTATTTCAATGCTTCTATCAAACCCTTCCCAGATCGATGCTGCCGCCACACGGGCTGTTGAAACAATCTAGGTTCACTCGGCAGCATCAAGACTGGTTCATTGTCTGGAGGGGTTTGATTTTCGTTGTCATCCAGCCCTTTCCTTTCAAGAAGCCACCATGAAGACAGTTTGCTCGATGCAGAGCTCGACGTGTGAGCCTGCACTCCAAAGATGCCCTGCAAAAGTCTTGACTTGGAAGTCAGGCGTGTCAAGACTTGTTGAGTAGCCGACATCCTTCGTTCCCCGTTGTTCATCCTATTTGTGTCTTGTTCCATTTCGGCAGAGTTCAACGATCCGGTCTGTCTGCTATATTGCCTTTCTTTCGTCCATGGTTGCCTGTTCAAATCTGTGAGAAATCTTTTCATGAAGGCATCTAAGTCTTGTATGCATTCAAAACCGATACCATCTGGACCTATATTCCTTCGTGTGAACTCTCTTCACAAGATCGCAACCATCATCCCCATTCAACTCCTTTCCTCTCTCTCCCCTCTCCTGAGTCCCCATCTCATCTCATCTCCTCTCATCTCCTCTCCTCTTATCTCATCTCATCTCATCTCGTCTCGTCTCATCTCATCTCTCATCTCATCTCATCTCATCTCATCTCATCTCATCTCATCTCATCTCATCTCTGATCTCATCTCATCTCATCTCTGATCTCATCTCATCTCATGTCATCTCATCTCTGATCTCATCTCATCTCATCTCTGATCTCATCTCATCTCATCTCGTCTCGTCTCATCTCGAGTAGCTCATCTCGTCTCATCTCCTCTCCTCTCCTCTCATCTCATCTCATCTCATCTCATCTCTCATCTCATCTCATCTCATCTCATCTCTCATCTCATCTCATCTCATCTCATCTCATCTCATCTCATCTCCTCTCCTCTCATCTCCTCTCCTCTCCTCTCCACTCCTCTCCTCTCATCTCATCTCATCTCATCTCATCTCATCTCTCATATTATCTCATCTCCTTTCATCTCATCTCATCTCATCTCATCTCATCTCATCTCATCTCATCTCATCTCATCTCATCTCATCTCATCTCGTGTTATCTTTAACTTCCGTCTTCCTCTCTTCATCTTCTTCTCTTCTCATCGCTCCCGCCTTCCGCCAGTCTTTGTCTCCTGCCCATCCTAGTAGGGTCGAGACGACCCTGCCTTCCACATCATGGCATTCGGTAGGGCCTACTAGACGGCCCGGCAGTCAGGGGCCCGGGCCCGGGCTCAGTAGGCTCGCAGCCCCCGGCCGGGCCGGGCCGCGGCCCCGCCGGACTCACTGAGGGTTTTTGTTTGACTCAGACTGACGGACTCAGCGGGAGTCCGATCCCGCCCGGGCCCCAAGAATCGGAGTACTGATAACCGATTATCGGAGTAGTACTGATAACCGATCGGAGTTCAGTACTCCGTGACTGATAACCGAGAATCGGAGTACTGAGTTCGACTCCGCACTGGTGGGAGCGCTCCCCCCCCGGCCAGGCTCCTGGGCAGTGGCCCAGAGTGCGGCCTCTGGCAGTCCGAGGCAACTTGACTGCAGCTGAGTGCGGCCGGCCCGCCGGGGCTGGGCCCGGCCCCACCCCGACTCTGAGTTCCAAACTTGCGTGACTCTGGCCGTGACGGTAGGCGCCGGGCGGTACTCAGGCCGGCTATGTCAAAATGACCGTACATACAGTGACAGTGTCAGGGTCCGATCAAGCGCGGCTTCCTCTCAGTCTGCTCTCCGAGGCTGATTGTCCTCGTACTGAGTTTTCACTTAACTTTGAGTAAAGCCAGAGTCACTGCCCGGCCACAATGATTGTTGATCGTCCGACTCGCCGACCCTCGGACTGTCCCGGTCGGGACCCTAGTCTTGAAGCCGAGGGGGGCCTGACTTTAGATGTCACATGCAGGTAATGATGCGCCCAATCGGGCAGGAATGGGGGAGGGGAGAGAGGAGAGAAGTAGAGCACAGGACGATGGGTGAGAGGTGCATAGGATGGAAACTGACATTGTTTGATGCTTATCCAGCTAAGGGTAAAGCTCGTACCAGGGAGAGATTGCTTCGTTTCGCTCCCCAGCCATGTTGTCGACGCCTTGTTTCAAAAGTGAGTCTCTCTTTCTCTGTCAGGCAGCACCTCAGAGTCTGACGTTGCATTAGATATCAAGATGCTCTCAATGCTGGTTGTCTCCTCGTTGCTATGCACACGCTGAGCGTGCATGTTTCCTTCTAGGTGCACTAGAAGTCAAATGGGTCGGAGCGTCGAGATCGCACAGCACGGGAGAAGGGAGGTGTTGACCTGCTTCCTGATGCCACGCGTCATGTGACATGTTGATGTCTGCAGGCAAACAGAGGTTTCTCTGCAAGGGAAGGTTTGCACTTGTGATCTGACAGCGTCCCGAGCTTGACTCGTATCTCGTAGAATGTTAGATCCCTTATGGTCTCATGGGCTGGTTCATGCAGCAGTCAGTCAGATGCACTGGAGCTGTCGCCTTCTTATGCAGAATGTCTTGGTGGCTCCTCCTGCTGCTCCAGTACGAGTAGTTGAGACATGATGATCAGGGCTTTCCGACGGGATCGATATAGATGTCCACTTCCGCAAGGAAGTTCCTGTTGCGCTACAAGTGTTGGTTGAGCCAGTCTCGACCGATGACTGGGAGGTGGATGCCTTGCCTCTCCCTCAAGGTCCATGACGATCCAACAGCTAGTGGAGCTGAACTGCAATCAGATGGAGAGTCAGGTTTTGAATCAGGTCCGACGATGACCTGTAAGGGTGGGAACTGAAGTGTTTACAAACAGGCCCGAGCGATCAACGTTGGTTACATCTTACCGATATGGTTAAGTTCTACTGTGAGAAAGCCTGCACTTGCTCATGCATGCCTGTTTCATTGCCATTCCTCCCCTCGCGTTCCATACCCATACATCTTCCTCGAATTGACCGATGAAAATCTCGCTGATTTCACCTTCAGTCCCTTGTAAGGGTGAAGATAACGGACATCTTTGCAAACGACAAGTCTCTTGTGCCAGTCGCGCTTCTGTCGCAGTTCGTTCGCAAAGTCTCGAGGTCCCTGTGATGAGGATGTGTGATAGGAACACGGAGGTTGTAGTGAAACCAAAGGAGAGAGAAGCCGCTGGGAAAGGAACGGAGGTATTCCATCATCTAGACGATGACGCTGATGCCGGACTCAACTGCTGTCTTCAATGCTTCATGGCTGATTGAAAACTTTTCCGGCGCAGGGTGGAAAGTGCATGACGATGAGAGTCCTTGCCCTCGAGCACCTCAGGGGCCTTGTAGATAAGCTGCACCCCTCCGACATCTTCGTCCCTCAAGACATTCTTCATCGCTTTGACGGGAAGTTGTGCTCATTGAGGTTAGACGAGGTTGTTCAGGTTCTTGAACCCACTTGAGGCTGCGCTGGGAGTGAAGTGATGGTAGGGGGAGACAAGGCCGGGGCAAGTGAGCAAGACGCTGGTGAGCGAGTAGTAGACGAGAGGGTGGAGATGATACTAGTCTCCCGTCAGATCGGACGAACACGAGGGCATCCTGACATTCCATCTCATCACGTTGTTCTTGGGTGAGCAAGCAAGCAGTGGCGTTGAGTTGTGGGATCACTGTTGGGATCAGATGTCACCAGAGACAGCAGCTCCTCTCTCCCGTAGGCTCGAGAGTGCAAGTCAGGAGCTTGCAAGGAATCCCAGCACAACCGGCGAAGGTGAATGAGAGCTGGGAGACGAAGGAAAGGACTGACGTGTCAAACAGGTGGTGATCTCTCCAGTCGAGCTTGCCAGGTGCTGCTTCGATGAGGCCAAGAGAGAGTTTGACTAGGCATATCATGACAGTCCGATGGACAAGGAGACGAAGGAGTCGTCCAAGGAGGAGAAGACGTCAAGCGATCAATGCGTGATCGAGGACTTCGAGGAGTTTGTGAGGAAATGGTCGCCTGTGAGGAAGAGAAGTCTTGGTGAACGTCAAGGAGAGGAGCGGGAGGCTCTGTGTGATTGAGATTTCAGTGCTGCTTGATGGGACTCTTGTGGAACTGAAGGAGGAGGAGGAGGAGCTGCGAGGCGATCAAGCAACGAGGATCAACAGGAGGATGTCGAAGAAGCAGCAGCAGTTTGTCTGCATTCACATGCAACAAGCCGACGGCTCGCCCTACCCCCCCCTTGCAAATTCCGTTCGGATTTTCGACTTGTGGTATGACAAGGACGTCCTCCGTTCCTCGCAAGTCGACAAGATAAAATGCAAGAAGCTGCAGGTCGTGCGAAGAGGAGGAGATGGTAGTTGGGGTAATGTGTGAAAGGGGAAAAAGGGAGGACGAAGAATAGAGAGAGGAAGAGGGAGTGGGGGAGGAGGAGAAGGAGAAGGGAGTGGGAGAGGGAGATTGTGGAAAAAGGAACGGAGAAACAATTTCTTCGTGCTTGACCTGTTGGAGCAGGAGGACCTTGTTCTTGAGCCTTGCCTGCGGGAGGTGGTTGGAGGAGGACAAGAGCTAGTTAGGAACGTAACTTCCCACCTCCTCTTCAACACGGTAAGGAGAGGAGGAGGAGGAGGAGGAGGAGGAGGAGGAGGAGGAGGAGGAGGAGGAGGAGGAGGAGGAGGAGGAGGAGGAGGTAACGTACACGTCAGCTGGAGACAAAGCAGAGGTCTCAGCTCTTGAGAAATGCCTTGACCGGAGGCGTCCTCCTCGTCGGCCAGCAAGGAAGCGGGAAATCGTTCCTTGCTCGTGCCATGGCGCATCAGCTGTCAGCGAGCTGGGCTGGAGGGGAGCGGCGAGTAGAGTCAGAGCTGGAGGGAGGAGACGATCAGAAGCGGCCCGTAGCGATGGCGTCAGCATGCAGTGTCCACGTCCTGCACTGCGGAGATCTTTGCGAAGCAGGTGAAGAATGGAGAGGAAGTTTAGGAGTCTTTGGGCGGGAGAAGGGGCCGAAGAGGAGATGATTATAGATGGGCAAGGGAGGGCAGGAGAGGAGGAGGAGGAGGAGGAGGAGGAGGAGGAGGAGGAGGAGGAGGAGGAGGATGACTTTCAGCAGACGAGTACAGGATTCATACGGTGCTCGAAGAAACGATAGAGAGAGCGCGGCAGCAAGCCCCTGCGGTGACTTGACGATGAACATTCCAATTCATCTCATTGGCTTACCTCAACTCAGGTGCTGCTGCTCGACGACATCGACTCCCTGGCTCCTGCTGAGTCCCAACATGTTCGCCTTCTTTTCCTACCGATTCCTCCTTCCAGCTCTCCTCCCAGCTTCACCATCTCCTCCCCTCCCTCCCTCCCTCTCTCGTCCTCTCTCTCTTCTTCTCTCTCTCGCTCTCTCCTCTGTTTATGATCGAGTGAAAGACCAGCAGGGGAGCGCGGAGGTTTCATCCGGAGCGAGAGGAGGAGGGAGGACAAGGACTTCGCTCCTCATCGACTGCCTTCGCTCGATGCGGGCTGATGGGATGCAGCTGGAGGCGGCGCATGACACGAAGACCCTGAACGTGCATGGAGTGGCTGTGCTGGGAACTGCCAAGTCCCTCTCCTCCTTGTCGCTACCTCTCCTCTCTCCTGGTCTTTTCGACATGCAGGTCACGACTGATCTTCCCCTCCTCCCCTTACCCTCCCCCGCTCCTCTCCTCCCCTCCTCTGCCTACGTCGCTACTCTCCTTCATTTCGGGCTGATTGCCCTCAGGTTGAGATTCCTCCGTTGGATCGCAAGGCGCGCAAAGCGATCCTGTGCGAGATGCTGGGCAGCATGCCAATGCGGCTGCAAGTGAGTGTCTCCTCCTCTTCTGCCTCCGCTTCCTCCTCCTCCTCCACCACCACCATCATCATCACCACCACATTCACTACCTCGTCCTCGTCCTCGTCCTCGTCCTCGTCCTCGACCTCCTCTTTGGCCCTGAGAGTGTCAGCAAGTCCGAGGAGGTGGTGGATGGGGTGGAGTCGAGCTTGGAGGGCTACAGCGGTCACGATCTCCGCACGCTGGTGAGCAGCCAGTCTCGTCTGCTCCGACTGAGAGGCGGCAGGCCGATCGCGTTGCCGTAGCTGTTGCTTGTCGTCGGTTGTCGTCGTGCTCACGTCCATCCGAAGAGGAGGCGATCACAGCACAAGACCTCGTGCGTCATTCAGCTCCGCTCCTCTCTCCTCTCATCACCCTCTTGCCCTCCCAGAGATCAGCTTGTGAGGGGTACGTGCCACCTTCGTTGAAGAATTTCAAGGTGGGGGATGAGGAGGGGGAAGGGACTGGGACAAGGGAGTGTTGACGATTCTTCAGTCTCCTCCTACAGTGCAGTGGGAGGACATCGCGGGAATGGACGAGGCGAAGGTGAGGAGGAGGAGACGGTGGGGCCATGTGACGTGCTGGGACAGGATACTCTTCTCAGGATGATCCAGCTGCCCACCAGACACCCCGAGCTCTTCGCTGCTGCTCCTCTCCGCGTCCGTACAGGTTCGTCTCCTGTTTGGCTCCAGCTGGGGAAGTTGGATTGAGTTCTCATCAGGTTGCCTCCTGTACGGGCATCCGGGATGCGGCAAGACGTTTCTGGTTCGTAGACTCACAAGATGACAAGGAAACAAAAACGTCAAGCTTGACAAGGATCCTGGCAGGTCGGAGGGGTTGCGTCAAAGACAGGCTTGAACTTCATTACGGTACCACCAATGTCCCTACTCCAATATCACCTCCTGCTCCTGCTTCCCCTCTCTTTTCCTCCTCCCTCCTCCCTCCCGAGACTCTGACTGATCTCGGCACAGGTCAAGGGCCCGGAGCTTCTCAACAAGTACATCGGAGCCTCCGAGCAGGTGCCATGGCGTCAGCATGCGGCAGGGAGACGATGCTAAGAAGCGCAGGGGGTGCGGGACGTGTTTGCACGTGCGAGTGCCGCGAAGCCCTGCTTGCTTTTTTTCGACGAGTTCGACTCCATCGCTCCTCAGGCTTGTCGTTGCTCGTCCTGCTCCCGTTTGACGCTGCCAGCAGCGAGGACACGACTCGACGGGAGTGACGGACAGAGTGGTGAACCAGTTCTTGACAGCTCTTGATGGCATTGAAGGCTTAAGGTGAGGAGGACGGGAGTGAGAGAATTACAGGACGAGCAGGAGCAGGAGCAGGAGCAGGAGCAGGAGCAGGAGCAGGAGCAGGAGCAGGAGCAGGAGCAGGAGCAGGAGCAGGAGCAGGAGCAGGAGCAGGAGCAGGAGCAGGAGCAGAAGCAGGAGCAGGAGCAGGAGCAGGAGCAGGAGCAGGAGCAGGAGCAGGAGCAGGAGCAGGAGCAGGATCATAACGGTTTGTCACAGTGGAGTATTCGTAGTAGCCGCCACAAGTCGTCCGGAGCTGATTGATGCTGCGCTTCTACGGCCGGTCAGTGAAAGGCGGGAGGTATGAGGGGTGAGAGAATGACAGGGAAGGCTGGACAAGCACATCTGCTGCCCCATGCCGGACAACAAGTACCGCCTCCGGTCTCTTACTCCTCTTCTCTCCTACTCCAAATCCTAGCCTCTCTTGCTGCTCCCCCTCCTCTCCCCGCTTTCCCTCCTGCCTGCTCCTGCTCCTGCTCCTGCTCCTGCTCCTGCTCCTGCTCCTGCTCCTGCTCCTCTGCTCTTGCTACTCGTCTTGCTCCTGCTCGTCCTGTATGTTCAGACTTGAGTTCGAGTCACGACTGACTGAGTGCATCGCTGACTTGCTGCGTCAGCCTCTTGCAACGAGTCGCATCCAAGGCTGAGGTAGAGGCCCCAGCAGCCCCTTGGCCACTGACAGGCTGCTAGCTGGACAAAGACATCTGTCTCGAGGACTTTGCTGAGCAGCTGGAGGGATGCAGGTGGGTGGCTGCTCCCTGTCTCTCCATCGCTGACGCTGCTGGAAGCTGTGCTGACCTGCAGGCCTTCATCTACAACGCCCAGCTGCTGGCCATCCACGACATGATTGACGGGCGGAAGGAGGAGGAGGAGGAGGAGAGGCCGCGTATTTTGTTGTCTCATCTGCAACGAGCAGCAGAGGATCTCCGACCGAGTTTGAGCGAGGCAGAGAGGCGACGGTGACAGGGACGGAGGGTCCAGCTGGTGCTGACCTGACTCTCAGCTACGATCGGATCTACGAGTCATTCCAACGGTCGCACAAGTCACCGCAAGCTGGAGGTGAGCTGAAGGGGAGAGGGAGGCGGATGACGTCACGGCAGAGGCTGGGGTGCAAAGGAAAGCAACCATGGCGTGAGCGAGAGCAAGTTGTAAGATAGGCGCCTAACATGTACAGCAAACGATCTCATGGTGATGAAAACAAGTTTGTTAGTCAAGTTGTCAAGCTTTGAAAGATCCGTCACATCAGTTGATTCATTTTAAATAATGCATACGAGTTACAATACCATCAATAAGAATTCCTTCAAGTCTGCTGGACTTATTCATGTACAACATTTGCTTTCGCAACCTGACATACAAATTCTTTTCATTTTCCTCCTCTTCCTCCACCAAGAATAATTGTATTATCATCACTCGTCCTTTATCAGCGCCGTCTTCAACATCTGCAGTCCAGTCAAATTCGCTTCCTTTTATTCCTCCTCCTCCTCCTCCTCCTCCTCCTCCTCCTCCTACCTGGATCTTCAGCGTGCGGTGAGCGACTTCCTGCTCCAAGTTTGCCTCCTCCTGCATTCCACATCAGCAGGTCACACGACCCCACCAAAATCACCTCATCGTAGTAGAGCAGCTGCTCGTCGATCTCCTCGCTAGGCGAGTACCTTGACGGAGCCGCATGCACGTACTCCTGCCGTGACCTCAGTCAGACTCCTCCTCGCCTCTCTCCCACTCTCCTCCTCCCTCTCTCCTCCTCCCTCACCTCGATCTCCTCTTCGATGCCTTCATCCCCGTTGTTCATGTACGCCTTGCCGCGCTGCCAGCGGGTTGAGGCGGGAGCGGGATGGAGGAGGGGGAGCACCTGAGGGGAGTAGAGCCCTCCCTCGTACGCCACGTCACCGAAGAGGCGGACCGATGGCTCCTGCCCTCCTGCCTTGCGCATTCGACGAGCGTCGCTCTGCTGACGCTGATGGGGCCGGTCAGAGGGGTCAGAGGGGAGGACGAAAGAACCTGGCGGAGGAGGCGATCGCGCTCTGAGATCTTGGCACCCACCTGCTCAGCATCTCAGCGGGCGGAGATAGCCAAGGGAGAGGACAGGAGCAGCAGATGAGAAGGGCGATGGAGGGGGAGGGGGAGGAGGGGGAGGAGTTCAGGAGGAGGCAACCTCCGCTTGGATCATCATAGGCCTGGAGACTGCAGACGATCCGATGGCCTGCAAGTCCATCAGAGGTCGAGCTTAGCGGGAGCAAGCGAAACCTTGGAGATGCGATGCACCGTCATTTGAAACTCCTGTGCGCAGACGTTGAGAGGAAGGCGAGGAGAGGGAGGAGGAGGAGAGGGAGGAGAAGGAGAGGGAGGAGGAGGAGGAGGAGGAGGAGGAAAGGGAGAGGAAGATGGAAGAGGGGGAGGAGGAGGAGAGGAGGAGGAGGAGGAGGAGGAGGAGGAGGAGGAGGAGGAGAGGGAGAAGGAGAGGTAGGAGGAGAGGGAGGAGGAAGAGGAGATCGCTGCACCTGCATCTCTTGCTGCGTTTGTTGGGCTACTTGCTGCCTTGCCTGTAAGACGCGGAGAAATGATGAGAAGTCGAAAGAACCCCCCCCCCCCCCCCCCCCCTGATTCACTCCCCTATTGCCCTGGTGCTGTGGAAATCTCGCACTCAAATGAGTTACATCGCAAGTCCTACTAGGGGGGAATAAATGAGTCCCGACGGGGGATCGGATCAGGCGCCTCCGTTCCTTGCCTTGGTCCGCTGACGCCCCCTCTC